ATGTTTTTTAAAGCAATAACTAGGTACAATATGAATTCACGAGAAACTAGTATAGTTAAAGTATGAAATTGAGATTTGATCCATCTTAAAAATTAGATTTTGTTTATACAATAAGGCTTCGTAATTATCCGTTCTTATGTTATTTAATAATATCTAATCTACGGTTCAAATTTCAATTTTTATATTTTACTTATGTGCCTTTCGTTAATTCTCATATTACCTAATTAAATAATAATTTAACATGTAAGTATAATTTAGGTATGTAATTCTGTCTTTTTCTTTTTCATATTCTATTAGATCAATATAATTGTTTCATGTTTTAGCTAATTATTTAACGAATATACCGATTTCACATTTTAACCATGGTAACATATACTATAAAATAATTGAATTTTAATGATTTTTTTTGTTCTATTTCTACATAGGGGTTCGTCTATCACGAAACATTTGTATCACTATACTAAATAGTCTTATGTTATCTCGATACTCGAACTTTCGATAATCTCAATATGAAAATTAATTAACAGTTTATCTATAATAAAAAAAAATGATCAAAAGTCAATAATAATTCGTGTTAATTATAAGAATCCTATTGACCAATCGATAAATCAATTATAATTGTAAATCAAATTCGAAATTTCGTTTCTTTCCTCCCCAAAAAACAAAATCTGTTGCTTTTCTAGTACAACTTTCTCTCTAATTTAACAATATAAGTCCTTCCGTAGGAAAAATGTTCTCACCGGTTCGAAAAGTTACACGAAAATAAATTTTGTCCGAATATCTGTACGGTTTGGTGATTCGCAAAAGAGTCCGCAGAACGATTGCTATTTCCGTTTAAGAAAGAGGGAAGAAAAAAAGCGCACGATCCTTTTGCTTCTAAAGATAAATGTTCTGGGAGAGAAAGAGAAAGGGAAAGAGATAGATAGAAAGAACGAATGAAAGAAAGAAAATAAGAATAAAATAAAGAAAGAAATAGAAATGGAGAATTTTAAAACTACCTCGGAAAAATTAGACTAGGCCATGTATCGCGATCGATTCCGAGTTGCACCGAACGATAACGAACACACAGAGTACTATAAGGAAGAATGAAAGAGAGAGAGAGAAAGAGAGAGAGAGAGAGAGAGAGAAAGAAAGTTTCCCTAACCTAATTTCTCAATCGTCGAACGTAAATCTTTACGAAAAGGAAACCTACCCGTCGTAAATTTTCTTCTCTTTACTTTTCTTTTTTCACAAAATCTCTCAGGAATTTGATTTCTTATGTGAATTTTAAAAAAAGAGAAAAATAAATAGAAAAAATATTAAAACGTTGGTAGTTAAATCGATTGAATTGAAAGTAATCGAGAAAAGATTAAGGAACACACGTTATTTTAATATCATATCGAATAATTTACCTAACAACGAGTTATAGTATATACATGTATGTGTATATATACAAAACCTTGGATGTAATATATCCTATATATACGTTTACTACATACGTCAAGTATTTAGTTTATCCAATAAGAATACATTACGTACTTTCTTAAGTATAAATATATGTGTATATATGACATAGTAATAATATATAAATATGAAAGAGAGAAAATGATAATCTACAGAGAGAGAGATTTGTTCAATTTTATAGAATGTTCAATGAAAGAATAAACAAGAAAATATTACCTATCGTAAAGGAAGATTCAACACAACAACCAACCTTTACTAAACTTTGAATCTCTATGAAATGATTCAAAACATATGACACATATCTCTTTTTCTATTCATTTTTCATTCAAAGAGATACGAATGAGAACGTTGAAAAAGGGCAACAAAATAATTCAAAAACTTGTTAGAATTCGATTTCGTCGCGTGTAAAGTTCACATCCTTAGCCGTAGAGCTAAACCACCATCATCACCACCAACCAACCAATATTACGATTCGAAAGAATCCAGACGCCTTTTCGTATCTTTACAAGAAAGAGACAGAGAAAGAAAAGAAAAAAAAAAAAGAAAAAGAGAAAGGGGAAAAGAGGACAGAGAAAGATAGAATGAGAAAGAAAAAGAGAGAAATAAAAACAGAAACAGAGTCGGAGACGGAGACAGACAGTGAAATGGAAAGAGGAGAAAAAAAAATGAGAAATAGAGAAATAGAGAGGATAGAGACATCCCGGAATTCAAGTGGCTTCACACTCGGAAAGGAGGAGATCCTCTGGGATGCACACGCGCGAGAAGAAGCTTCCGCGAGACGACGAGCCGCGCGTCTTTTTTTCTTGCACCTCTTTTTCTGTCTACGTTTCTCGTCGTCTTAGTCTTAGTCTTCGTCTTCTTCGTCTTCTTAGTCGTCTTCTTCTTCTCCTTCGTAGCAAGCCGTCCGTTTTTGGTCGAGCCGAATGAGCACAACGACTACGACTACGAAGAAGACGAAGACGAAGCATCCGCCACCTCGTCAAAGATTTTCTTTCTCTCTCTTTTTTTCATACACATATATAAAGTTTAAGAGAGAGAGAGAGAGAGAGAGAAACGATCGTTTTAAACATATTTTTTATTTTTATTCGAATTGATGACTAAAAGATCAATGGAAGGTAAGATACACTTACTACTTTTTTTTGTATATGTAGTGGAAGATAGATGGTTATGATAATTTAGAAGTTATTATATATGAAGAGTCTAATATAATTGATTAATTTAAAAATAAAAGGGGGGAGAGAGAGATAGAGAAAGAAGTAATAGGGATAAAATTGTAATGTATTATAGATTTAAATTTTGAAGAATATAACTAATACCAATTCGAAATTAAAAAGTCTAAATTAATCTTGCAATATGTGACAATATCTAAAATCGTGAATGCATAAAAATCATGATGTATGTATGTACTATATATTAAAAAGGTATATAAGAGTATTGAGGTTAAGTTGATTAAATTTTTGTATCTTTTTATAAGAAAAAGGGAAAGAAGAATGATATGAATTTGAAGATAGAAACTTAAAATTATGAATGTATAAAAGAAACATGTACATACTTTATGTATATAAAATATGTAAAAAGTTAGATTGATTTAATAGAAATTTTCTTTTTCTCTTTTAATCGAAAAAAAGAAAAGAAAAATATAGTTTTAGAATCTATAAAATGATTAATAATTAATTATTAAATAAAAAAATACGCTGAACTTTAGAGAATAAGTTGCTGAAGAAGTCCCAATAAAGGGACGAAACGAAGTTCTAGTTTTCTTTTTAATATCCAAATTCCCTACGATATCTATTTATTAATAATTTTATTTTTGGAGACGAAAGAAAAAACTAATTGAACACATATATAATTAATTATTAATTAATTATTAAATAAAAAAAAAGACGCTGAACTTTAGAGAATAAGTTGCTGAAGAAGTCCCAATAAAGGGACGAAACGAAGTTCTAGTTTTCTTTTTAATATCCAAATTCCCTACGATACCTATTAATTAATAATTTTATTTTTGGAGACGAGAGAAACAACTAATTGAACACATATATAATTAATTATTAATTAATTATTAAATCAAAAAAAGACGCTGAACTTTAGAGAATAAGTTGCTGAAGAAGTCCCAATAAAGGTACGAAACGTCCAATTTAATCAAAACAAAGTTCTAGTTTTCTTTTTAATATCCAAATTTCCTACGATATCTATTTATTAATAATCTTATTTTTGGACACGAAAGAAAAAACTAATTGAACATATATATAATTAATTATTAATTAATTATTAAATAAAAAAAAGACGCTGAACTTTAGAGAATAAGTTGCTGAAGAAGTCCCAATAAAGATACGAAACGTCCAATTTAATCAAAACAAAGTTCTAGTTTTCTTTTTAATATCCAAATTTCCTACGATACCTATTTATTAATAATCTTATTTTTGGACACGAGAGAAACAACTAATTGAACATATATATAAAAAACATAAAATACAAAAAAAACAAATATATAAAATATAAGTTAACATAAATGAGTGAGTGAGTGAATGAGTGAGAGGTAGAATAATACACATATTATACATATACATACTATTTCATACGTTTCCGTCGTCGCGCTCGCGCGTTACGTTGAGTACGGATATTTCGAAGGGTGCGCTAACCTGAAAGTCTGGCGAGGAATCGAAGCATGCCAACGGCGGAAGACAGGCAATGGGCCGCGGTTCCAGCAACCAGAACTCTACCAGCGATCGGCATTCGTGTCTCCTTCCTTCCTTCCTTCCTTCCTTCCTTCCTTCCTTTCTTTCTTTTTTCTTCTTTCGTTCTTCTTCCTTCAATTTTCCTTTTCCTCTTCGTATTCTTCGAGTGTGTATTATTTGCCGCCTCACGCAAGCAAGCAAGCAAGCAAGCAAGCGCGCGTGCTCACACTCGTATAATAAGATAGAAGAAGAAAAGAGATAGAATATATATACGTCACGATGAAAACGAAGAGAGAGAGAGATATATCTACTATACGTAAACGTGAACGTAAACGTAAACGTAAACGTGAGTGAATCAGTAAGAGAGTAAGAGACAGACGGATTAAGCCGGTTCTAACCTAACCTTTATCCTCTTTCTCTCTCTCTTTTCCACTTGGTGCCGCAAAGCCGAGAAAAAAGGTACGAGGAGACACACACGAGCGTATACACACCGGAAGAAAGAACCAGGATTCTTCCGTATCAAATATACATATATATATATATATATATATATATATATATATATATATGGATTAAGAAAGAAAAGAAACTATCGTCGTATTTCGTTGTTGATAGATGTTGTGATGTGTTGTTACTGCTGTTGTTACTGCTAATCTTTGTCGTTGCACTCACGCACGATACTTTTTTTTTAATCTCCCACTCCTTTTTTTTTTTCCTTCTTAATTTCTTTTTATTGTCAATCAAAATAGAAGTTTATAACGCGAGATTTACGATAATTTTTCTCTCATGTCACACACACTGCTGTATTAGGTATATATATTAGTGTTGTTGGCACTTATTATTATTATTATTATTATTCTTTGATTTCTCCCTTGTTTCCTCTCTTTGACTATTATGATATTGGGTTGTGGAGAGAAGCAGAAGAGACACTCCCAACACTATCGGAGGGCACGGACCAACGAGGGCTCTCGTTCGCGCGTTGTACGTGAGTGCGCGCGTGCCGTCTCTCTTTCTCTTCCCCCCACCACTACTCACACTCTGTCTCCTTCTCTTTCTCTTTCTCCCTCTCCCTATCTCTCACTCTTTCTAACGAATGCGTGGAGCTGCTGTTACTGTACTGTTACTACTGTTAGTAGTAGTAGTAGTGGACTGTGGTGTTACTGTTGATATCAGTGTGTTGTTACTGTACTGTTACACTACTATTACTACTTCTACTCCTCCCTGTTGTGTATGTTGTATTGCTGTTGTTTAACACACACGCGCTTGATCGATGATTAGACGAAAAAAAAGATCGATCTTAAATCGTGTGTTAGTTTCTCTCTCTCTATCTTTCGTTTTTCTTTTTTGTTTTTATCTTTTAAGACATAGATGGATAGATAGATAGGTAGATAAGGAAAAAAACAGTGAAAGATAATAGATTACGATCCTTTATCTTTTACTTTCGTAAAGTGAGATAATAGTGCACAAGTAGAAGAATTATAAGTACGGCGTTGAGAGTTAAATGAGATAGAAGAAGAGTAGGTCTCTCGTCGTTTGATGAAGAACGCCGTATTTCACCATGGGAAATGGAAGAGAGAAAGAAACGACACTCGAACGTCACTACGGCGCTCCTTCCTTCCTTCCTTCCTTCCTTTCCTTCCTTCTCTAGGAATCGTCTTATTTCTTCAAGTCTTTTATCAATTGTAATTATTTTTATTTCTCGTTTTTGTATTTTGTATCAGATAATAATGGGTCAACAAAATGTGCCGTTTTTTTCTTTTTTTAAGAAACGACAATGCACATTAAGAAAAAGCAGATATTAACTTTCCCGACATAACACTAGAAAATACGGCACGCGCACTCTCTTTTATCTTTTCTCCTTTCTTTTTCTCTCTTCGAAGAAGAGAGACAAGTTTATATATATATATATATATATATATGTGTATGTATATATATATATATATATATGATGCGTATGCGTCTCTTCTTTCTGTCGTTCTCGTTCGTTAACTTTGTTCGTTTCTAACTCGTTCCTCTGGTACTCCTTTCTCCGTATCACAGGAGAAAAGGTTACATACACGCACAGAGGATATAGAGATAGTAGATGGACTATATAATCTTACAGCAGTATTAAAGAGGGACAAAAATAATAAAGAAAGAAATGAACAAAAAAAAATCTTTAAATTCGATTGATTTTTCGTTGGTCACGCTGTTAAATCTTAATAACAGAAACGTGAATGTCGTAAAGGAATATATTTGATGTTGAAGATATTATTCGTAACTGACAAATACATCGTCGTCGTCGTCGTCGTCATCATCATCATGACATCTGGGGGTTTCTTCTCTATACTCTTCTTGATTACGTATTTTGTTCTTTTTCTCTTTCTATCTCTATCTCTATCTCTCTCT